TTAACTTGCGGCACTAGTCAGAGAAACTCACCAATCCCCATCATCTGGTAGCGACCCAAATCTGTTTATCTTGCACGACAAATGGCTTTTCAGTTGATCCGCTGTGGCCTAGCCTCGGCCAAGTTGAACCCACTGGTATGAACTGCGTGAAATCATCACCACCATCATCCTTTTTATTAACTTGACTTCATTTTCTTTAAAGGCTCGCTATTCATCTCATGCCGCTCACAAGTTTTCGCATGCTCTTCAAAGTGCACCAGCAACTGAACTAACGGTGCTTGACAATGGAATTCGAGTTGCCACGGAAAAGACCAGCTCTCCAACTGCGACCATCGGTGTGTGGGTTGAAGGTGGATCTCGCTACGAATCGGCCGAGCTGAATGGAATCGCCAACTTCATCGAGCGCCTCCTTTTCAAAGGATCGAAAACTCGCTCTAAAAAGCAGCTGGAGAAGGATGTTTATGGACTGGGTGCAGTTCTGAACTCGTACAATGATCGAGAGAGCAGCGGCTTCTATGCTACTGTCGCTCCGGGTGACGTGTCAAAGGCTTCTGAGCTGTTGGCTGACCTCATTCAAAACCCAGCTCTTTCCTCTGAAAACATTGAAGAGACCCGCAATGAAGTTCTTAAAGAGTTGGAGGAGTCGCAGTCTAACCACGAGCAAGTCGTCATGGACTACCTTCACTCTGTGGCTTTCCAAAACACCTCTCTGGCGCAGTCCAAATTTGGCTCTACTGAAAATATTCAGCGCTTCACCAAGGATCACATTGAACAAGGCCTGGATCTATTTTTCAAAGGACCTCGCATGGTTATTGCTGCCAGTGGCAATGTTGAACACGATCAAATGTACGTATGCTAGTAATCTTTTTCTCAGTATTTACGGTTAAATTTTTTATTCAGTGTCAAGCTAGCTCAGCAAGGTTTCAAAGGAGTTTCTACGGTTTATGAAAAGAACGGTATCCCCAGTTCACCAGTCGGCCATTACACTGGCAGTGATATCCGCGTTCGTGACGACTCGATGGACGCCGCCTATGTGGCTTTTGCTGTTGAGGGCCCAGGATACAACAACCCTGATTACGTTGCAATGAAAGTCGCTTCTTCGGTAACTAACATGCATTTTGTCTCATGAATACTAACAGTTGTTTCTTTCAAGCTTTACGCTCCCTGGGATCTCACTCACGGTGGAGGTGAAAACCTTTCCAACTACTATGGTCTGGTTTCGGCTTCTGACCACTTGACACAGGCGGTCAAACCATTCAACCTCGCCTACAAGGATACCGCTTTGTGGGGTGTTTATTTTATTGGTGAGCGAATGAAGCTTGCTGATATGTGCTGGCAAATTCAGCATCAGTGGAAGCGACTGTACCTGGAAATTGCCAACAATGAGATCCGCTTCGGAAAGAATAACCTCCTCACCAAGCTTATAACTCAGCGAGACGGCTCTGCCAGCAACGCCAACAGCATTGCTTCTGATGTCCTCCGTTTTGGCCGCCGAATCAGCCTTGAAGAGTGGCAGTCAAAGATAGCCCAAGTGAACTCTGACAAAATTCACCAGATGGGCGAAAAGTACTTCTGGGATCAGTGCCATGCCATGTCATCTCTCGGTCCAGTTGAAGAGCTGCCCGTCTACGATGACCTCCGAATGACGATGTCCTGGGTTCGCTACTAAACACCAACTTCCGTTTTCATCTACTTCTAGATGGTATATATTATTGTTTTTCAAGAGAAGAAAATTTTCAGTTGTACATGGAAAATTAAATTTTATTCATAGATAAAATAAAACAATTATTATACAAACGTCCAGATTTATGTACAAATATCAGTCTTAGAAATGCACATTAGTTACGAATAAGAAAAACAGTCACGATTCCCAAAATATAGGCAGCCTGTGTGGTGTGGGGAGGAATTGGAGAATTAGAAACAAGTCAATACCGATCATCGCCACACAAACACTTACCACTAATTTGATGTTGACACTAACAGCAAGCAGGTGAGTTTGTGCATTGCTGTTATCATCGAGGGGCAGCATAAGAATGACCAGTGCAATGACCAGTGCAGCGTACACAAAGTACTCATTTGGCACTTTCTCCAACTTCAGCTTGCCGTAGTTGACTACCGATGACTTATCGAACCCAGTCGGAGACAGCTCTTGAAAGTGAAAGTGCTCCGTCTTGGAGGCTTTCCGTTGACGAGCACTGCTGCTTGTGCTGCTGCCATCGTCATCATTTCCTCGATCCGATTTGAGGGTCACTTTGATAATTTTCTCCCCCAGTCGCTTGCCTTTGCCTGGCAAGGTAAGGCGAACTTGAAACTTTTCTTCAGTGATTGTCTTGTCCAGGAGTTTTACAGTGCTACGAAACAAAGTAATTATTTTCAGTTACAATCAAAAGTGTATACACTTGCACTCGTGTTACTTACATTTCCAGCGAATGCTTGGCTAGGATGTCCCCTTCGGACTGAGACAGCGAAAATGCGTTTGGTCGAGTACTCTCAACTGAAACAGAGATGAAAGTCGTACCAAAGTAAGACAAACGTTTTATCGCGCCAAAAGTGACTTACAGTGAAAATGAATTGTAAAATCATGGGGGTTAAAGATAGAGATGGTCTGCGTTTCGAAGGTTTCGGGGAACTCGAGGTGCTGGGGATGGACGAAGACCATGGAAGACATTTTGGACCACAGCTCACGCACACACTCACAATCTGGCACAATGACGACACAATAACTATCACATAATAACTGGTGAGTTGACGTACAAAGTTGGCAGAGTGGCAGAACGCGAGGCAGTTATTATCCCCCGTGGCATCGATTGGGGTTCGATGCTTGCGCAAATCTCAGGCAGATCAGATGCTTCCACCACCACCGAACAGGTGACTGTCACAACGCATTTAGACAGCAGACACTCGCAGACAGACCCACTGACTGTGTGTGATGTAAACAAGCGGAGAGTTACTTTGATTCAGACGGAGGTGGATCCTCAAGCAGTGTGCCTGCCGTGAAGCCGCTGTAGCCAGTGCGCAAGCAGACATCGGTACAGTTGCCTACATAGGCTCCACTCACTCTTAACTTCGTAAAGTCCACAGAGACGAATGCGCTCTTTAGTGAGTACCCCAAAAGATGGCGAAACTGTACGGGCCCAAAAGTTTATCAACTGACAAAATTCGAGCTCTTGAAGCGCGCGCAAATGCA